AAATGTTGCTACGGTTGTCGGTATCTGATCTGAAATTTACTGCTTTTGTTTTTTATTCGTATCATTTCTTGGATTCTTCTTTTATGATAATTTGTTTCCCTGTTGTTGGCGCTGTTGTCTCGACGAAACGTTATGAAATAAACGATATACATATTTTTATTTCACACTTTGACTGAATCAGAATGTTTTAACGCTTTATAAATTATAGTTTTTGTACAACATGTTTTAATTGTAAATTGGTTTTTGTAGTTTGTTTGAATTTTAAATCTGATGATGGAGCTGTTCTCTCGCCAAAACGTTAGAAATAATAACATTGTGGAGCATTTAGCAGATCAGAAAATCAGATTAAGTATTTTATGAACACTTAAATTTCAATTGAGCTCTTTCAACTCTTGGGAACCGGATTCTTCAAACAACTATATTTAAATATCAGTCCGATATTAAACGATTTGCATCTAGGAAACACAACTGACAATTCGCCTTTTGACCTTAATGGTCATGTCTCAAATTTCACGTCCTGTAAATTTCTCGGCTACTAACAATCACTCGATTAATGCCCAGACGGGTTAGAACATATGTTTATGTTGAATAGTAATCCAGATTCGGCTCAATTGATGCATGTAATATCTCAGCATTGTAATCCAACAAGAGGCTTGAGTTGCTGGAACATGACCTGTTTATAAAATACCAATATTTACAGTTTTAAAGTGCAAATAATCTCAAGATTTTGATCCTTGACTAATCTTAAATTATTTATTCAAATTGTGGTACTGGAAAACAATAGAAAATAACTTCGTATTTTTTAAAAACCTTCTCAAATATTCAGCTATAAGTAGGAGTTACCCTCGGAATAGTTTAGTTAAGGGGATGTATTGAAAAGAAAAATCTCTTCATATTTGCTGCATTTTCACGTCATTGCACTTATATCAACACAAATTCCGAAGCAAAATTCTGCTCGACGTAAATCGAAAACTTTATTTTCCATGAAGTCATGCATCAAACGAGAAACTCGAGCACATTCCACCTTGGCAGATCGGTATATGAATTTTTCATGCACCTTCTGGAAAGCGTGTGGAAAGGGTTGTCAACGTGATATTTTGTCCACTGGTGAACAGACTTGAACAATGCGAAGAGCCACAATTTGTGTATTTGCGCCTGGAAAACAATATCTCATTCATGAATTGTTGATTTTCTTGGCTGTCCAAACACAGGAAAGGCAAAAGTATTTTTGCGTCCTTGTCTGTTGAGCAATATTGCTTGTTTGCTGTTACATGTCTACTTCATTTTCTATCATTAACGATTTTTTTCGCCATTCATTAAGACACAAGTTATTTAATAAGTAGATTTGAGTAATTAAATTAATTCGTTTGCAGTAGATCGATTCAAGCTATTAAATTAGTTATTGCAGATTAATAATTTGCTGAATTTTAATTAATGACCATTTGTTTAATGTTGATAAACAGATTGCACCTACAAAATGGGAACTAGAATACTGGAATATGCTTTAGGCCCTTCAAAGACAAAATATTAATAGCAATTTTCAACAAAATATTTTAGTTTTCTAGATTTTGTAGATGCTTTAAACTTTTTTGTCCTTTCTTAAATCATTTAGTGAATAATTTTAAGAACAATGCACAATACTTCCAGCTAAAGTCCTACTTTACTGCATTGATCTTGCTCAGGCAATTAGTTTGTTCTATTGTCAGTGTGGTCGAATTGTAATGTTCTTTCCTAGCCAAGTTGAGTTTCGCTTTGTAACATTCCAGGGACGTCGAGATCCAGTAGCAAAACCGTAATAAGTTTTAAGTGCTTCCTTGGCTTCTTTGATGAACTTTCCAGGCGCAAATTCGAGCGCTTTATTGATGGAAGAGTTTCCAGCCTCAATTATCACATTTGTAGTTGTGCGTTGCATCAAAGGAAACTATGCTACTTTTCTTCTTTTGATTTATGGGGGGCTTTCTCAGCGTTGCCCCATACCAAAAACTACTTATTTAAAAATTAAAATAACATTTTTTGTATTCCCGTATTGTTTGATAGAAAATCTCCGCATATTCCCGAGACGATATCCGTTTATCTTCTGCATTTAATGGAGATACAAGTATCGTTTTTAACGGGAAATATAGTATGTCTCCATCTTTAGAGACCACTTTACTTCAACTTCACGCCTCGCAGGGTTCATACAAGGGACCAAAGCGGCCACTTAATACTTATTACGTCTTTGTTTTGCTTCCGGAAGCGCTGGAAAGTTTCCAAGTAAAATGTGATTTTACTAATATTGCGAACGAAGCAAGAAACCGTACCACTATGTCTTTGTAAGCAAAATGTAGATACGTTGTGATTTGAAATGAAAGCCCTGTACCTAAAGCAGACACTAATGTACACATTTTAATAAAAATCGCTTGTTGCTGAAATTATGAATTTATTACCTAAGTGAAATAAGCTAAAGAAATAAACTAAATCAAAATTCAAGATATATATTTCATAAATCAGCAAGAGCATAAGAATTTCAGAAGAGCATTAAAGTATGTATCAAATATTATATAAACTAATATATATTCAATGTAGCAAATATTATTTGAAATTAGGTTTTCGCCGTATGCACTCTTGGATCTCGTTGGATATTATAAATTTAAAACTCAATGCCAATCATTGTAAAAATGTCTTACATTTTATGTGCATTTTAAAGCTCTACAGTTTCGCATAGTTTGAACAAAAATATTGTTAAATCCCAAAGGGCTGATTCCAGTGGCATTTTTATTTTCAAGACTATCCCACTTTGTATTCACCCCGACCTGAAATCTGGCACCGAACTTTGCAGCCAGAGTCCGGATAATCTGGCCTTGGTGTTTCCAAACACGCGTTTTGTAGCTAATTTCATATTTCGAGTGGAAAACTATTTGAAGTTTAATTTCGTTTAGAGTTTGAAATTTCCATCCGGCAAAAGTTCTATATCTAATTTACAAGAGCATTACTTGCGAGTTAATTATTCGAAGCATGCACGGCCATGCTTAAGCCGGCAATATATAAGAGGATTTCCGAAAGAGGAGACTGACTAACTTCCCGGGCAATTCTGGAGGTAATAATTTTAGATTTCTGCATGACGGCCAACGGTTTAGGCGAATTATTTAAAAATGTCTATTAACGAGGAATCGAATAGGAATGGGCAAACAATAGCTAATAATGCTATACATGTTTCTAGGGAGCGGTAAATCACAGACAAAGACTGGAAGCAACCTAATGACCGAAATTTATTGAACCATAAACTCCATTTCCGGGACGACGGAGGTCTTAGAATTGGAAAAGTCAAACTCAAACCCGTAATTGTAATGACCCCTTCGTTATCGTAACTGACGTTTCGAACTGCAAACTTTCCAGATTTAAGCATTTAAGATCCCAAAATGTGTCTGTTTCAAATTGAAACGAAATAGATGGATTTAGTGGAAGCTCTTTTCCACATTGAACAAAATTCAATCTACACGGAGAAAAATGCATTTGAAATATATGTTCTGGCTGACTCAAGTGAAAACTTTATCAAATTGTATATTTAACTGTAACCATCATTACCGTTTTTTATTAATGCGAATTTTGTTTTCAAAGCCTTCAATGTTTACCAAAGTAGTTTCAGCTCGTTATTAAGTTAAGTGCAATTCTAACGAAAAACAAATATAAAAAAAGAACACACATTTTATTATTAAGTTAAAAATTTGTATTATTAGCAACCGCAAATTACGATATATATACGAAAACCAAAACAACCAAGACCGGTGATATCAACACAGAAACTCAATATTGAGCTGCTATGGGACCCTACTACAAAGTACCTATACAAAAATAGATTGCAACGATAAATCGAAGAAAACCCGATTTTAATTAGTAACAACTCAATCTAGCGTGGGAGAGAATCAAGAATAATATCAAGAATCCAGCAAAGGAGGCACTTCGACAACGAACCATAAAAGTGAACCAAGTAATCAACCACAAGACACTATGCTTCCACCCAGATGTCAAGGAACAATACTAGAAACAGTGAAAGAAAGAAAAAAGAAAAGTCTACCTAAAATATTGTACTATGCTAATGCCAGAATCATATAATGAATATAAGCAAGTTAGGAACAAAACTAAAGAATTAATGAGAAAAATAAAAAATGTTCTCCAAACGCCTGGAAGGTGATTTCTACTGGCTTCAAAAGCAGATATGGCGATTCATAAGATTGCACAGAAAGAAGGTCAATAAACTGCTAGAACCAACCCACACAAAGAAAAAGAGTGGATTAGATATTTAACGGATCTGTATAAAACGACAAATACAGCAGACGAGCCTACCTTTGAACACCACCAGAAATAACAATTAACGAAGATGCCACGATCAATACATCCGACGTAGAAAGCGAACTACAGAAACTAAGAAATAGAAAAAGCGCCGGGCAAGACGGTATACAAAATGAATTGCTCAAATACGGTGGCCAAAGACTAACAGAAGGATTAACAACTTTAATACAGAAAATTATATATCAACACAAAATCACAGGTGAATGGCTAACCAGCACTACTGTGCTAATGATCAAAAAAGGGGACAAGAGAATACCATCAAATTATGGAGGACTAAACCTTTTAAGCACTGCTCTAAAACTAACAACTAAAGTAACTACGAACAAAATCAGCAATCCTACATCGTTGGCGGACGAACAACAGAGATTCAGATCGGGAATAAATTGCACAGACGCCGTGTTCGTATTAAGACAAATACTCGAGAAGTCGATTGAATACAACAAGCCAGCGTTTATAAGTTTTGTTGATCTAACTAGAGCATTTGACCGTGTCCAGCTGAAAGACGTCCTGCATCTCATTTACAACAGGCAAATCCCACACAATCACATTAAAACCATAGAGAACATATATACAAACAATAAAATACGAGCACAGACCCCACAGAGCCAATACCAGCGGGTAGCGGTATTCGTCAGGGAGACTTCCTGAGTCCTACCCCTTTCAATTTAATAATGGAAGAATTTGTTCGAAGTGTTCGAGGGCTAAAGGGATACAAAATAGGGGGTGCAAAAATCAAAATAGTGTGTTATGCTGACGAGACCGCTCTCATTGCTGAAAGTGAAGATGACTTACAAAGGTTATTACACTTATTCAACCTGAAAGCCAAGTCTCTAAATATGGAAATATCGCCGACCAAAACAAAGTGCTTAACAACATCAAAAACCCCTCTAAGATGCAAATTGGAACTTGACCGTAGAGTAATCGAGCAGAAAATGAAATCTAACTACCTTGGCGTTGAACTTTCCGGCTTTGGGGATATAGAGGCAGAGATGAGAGATCAAACAACAAAAGCAATTAGAATAGTTGGCTGTCTGAATGCCATATGCTGCAATAAGAGTATGGGAACGGACGCTGAACCAAGGATCTACAAAACCGTCGTGAGGTGGGTGATGAGATATACCGCAGAAACTACGCCAGAAACAACGAAAACCAAAATACTCAGAGAGACAGATGTGATGAAAATACTCCGTAGAATCACAGGAAAGACACTGCTGGATAGAGAGGGAAGCGAGAATGTCAGAATAGCCTGTAATGTCAAGAACATCAACAAATGGGTAGCAAACAGGAAGAAGGAATGGAATGAGCACATAACCAGGATAGACCACCGCAGACTTGTTAGAATGGCTCGCAACAAGTCCCCATTGGGACGAAGAGACGTAGGGCGCCTCAGAAAACGATGGAGCGGCAGCCCCACGCAAGGGAACGATAATTGAACAGGCGGTTCGCCTAAAATCAAGAATGAAGAAGAAGAAGCAAATTGCAACGGCAAAGATAAAGTGTTGTGTTAAAGAAAGAAGAATGTTTAGTTTTGCAAGGCGCATAATTTTAAACAATTTCCCTGCACACATTACGTCTTCAAACAACCCGTTTAGCTTGCACTTTGTCTAGACGTAAGTTCAACATTTCTGCTATTCAACAAATGTTTTCAACTTATACAACCTGAAACTTAGATTTTTCAAAATAAATTTGGTAAATACTATGAAAGCAGCATTAAATAGACAATACACATACAATAGACAAGTAAATTGTGATATCAAAGGAAATTACTCAAATGAAAATCCAAATTGATCCACAATTAAATAATTAATAAAGTCTTGTTATGAATCCTGGAATAGTAGCAAACAATTTTCAGATTTCACTTAAGCACTTTACAGTATTCAAAATCTGAACTCCAAACAAAGGCATTGTTTGCCTAAGTACCAGTTTTTATTTTGCTGATTGCTCCGGTTTGAGATGGAAGCTCGTTCTTCGTCAATATTCAACTTTCGCAATGGGAAAACGCGGAAGATAATAAAGCTTCTAAGTGAGCATTTAGTCTTTGTCTATAGGCCGTGAAGCGTGAGCATGAAACAAAGTGTCTTTGAAAGATAGAGTAGAATTCCTGGATTCTGTATATTATATTGAATATTTTTTAAGGAAATACGCGTATTTGTATATTGTAGCTGTGGCTGCAAATCTGCCATTTATGAGGTATAATCTGGTAAAATTACATAATCGGTGCAAGTTTAGCAGCTGCACACTCCAAGACACAAAACTTCCATATCCAGCATGCATCCGAAGTGCATTCCTTAATACTAATTTATTCGAGGTATGCACTCCTATATCGAAACAAGTAATGAATATGAAACTTGCTCAAGGTTTAACTAATTTTCCTGAAACTTCTTCCAAAGATTATCCTTATTGCATTTGGGAATATCTTACGAGATCCCAGCTGCCTCGTCGAATTATATTTTGTTTAATGGAGTTTGGGAATCTGCGTATTTTAAACTAGACCGTGTTTAATACCATTGTAAAAGTTTCCTTCAGCCAGCTTTTTCAACGATGCAAATACAGAAAAAGTTGTTCAAGCTTTCGCATTTTAATATGTACGAAATTGAAGCGTGCTTGAGTAAAGCTTTTTCAAACCTACTTGTTTAATTCAAGCTAATTACACTCGTTTCGAATCTCTGTTGCGAAGTTTAAGAAGTATAGAAAGCTAATTGATTGTTTACCGGTGGAAGCCCTTTAACTTATTGGTTGAAAAATTAAATATTTGAAAGCATATCACATGAAGGCCGATGACAGTTATTGCAAGCTGCTAAAAAAAACTTAATTTCTAAAATATAGCAGCTATTTAATGGTTTGTTACAGTACAATGCTGCAATAGAACGAAACAACGTAGTTTTTCGTTGGTACTTGAACCAGAAGATTGACGCATATTCCATTTAGGTAATTGCATGGAACCGTGCATCTACTATGTCATTTGTGTGCCCGATAAAAATACAAATAAACGAGCTTTCTCCTGGACGATAGTTCCTTATAACAATGTTCATTTTGGAGTCAAAAAAATAATGAAAATTGTTTAATCGCTGAACTAGACATCGTAGATCAAACACGGGATATAATAGGATAAAGCGGTATTCACTTGGAAATAAATTGGAATCGATAGAGTATATCGTTTCCATTTGGTATAGATCTGCGGCGTCGCTTGTTAATACCCGGCTCTCACTCAGATTAATGTTATTTCGTCGTTTTCTGAAAGCCAACAAAACAAATAATAAATTTTAAATCGAGCGATTGAAACAGGCTTTAGAAGCCTATTGTGTCACTGGAAACTAACTAACTGGACAGTAACAATTTAATTTGAAATATTGTATCTAATGACCTAAGTGAAATTTAAAGCTACGCTGAGAGAAATAGAAGCTATGGACTAGGGTTTAGATTACTCCGGTTAAATTAATATTTATCGGATAAAATTTAACTAACTTTTAACGTAACAAAACAATCACTAATCCATTTTAAAACTCCAATGATATGGGAGAAATGCACAATTTTATCTATTGGTAATGGTTTCCAAAGGTTTATTTAACTATTTTTTTAAAAGCGTGCTAATTGACTGATAAGGATTTTTATTCCGAATAACACCACGGACACATTTCCAATATTTTCCACTTTTGAAAATGTCGAGGCATTAAACTTGATTAATGCTCCGACGTATAGTTTAGCGAGACGCGAAATAGATTTTAGCATTTAAAGCATTAAAGGAACTGAAGGAGCCAATAATGGAATATATTTTCTCAGAGAATGTTGTTCAAATATACGGCATTTTACTTTTGAAGTAATTACTTTCTGTGTAACTCTGCAACCTTAAATTTGTCATTGCTTTCAGAGTTCGTTCTGTTTTTTTCAATTTGAAAATACTTCCTTTGACGCAATATTAAGTCGTTATTAACAACTGACTCAATGAATATTTCTGCTATGGACTGTAGCAGGAAATTGAGAAAAATTGTGCAATTGTTTAAAAAAAAAACAAATTCAAGGTTCAAGACAGCAAAGACCTAAATGAATATAATGTTTTCCAATTATGGGTTTGAATTAATTTTAAAATATGATGATAGCGCTATTGTCTCGCCGAAACGTAACGAAATAAACGATATACAAAAAAAAGTATTTCACAGTGTGACTGGAGCCCAGGAAATAAAATACTAGATATAATAACAATTATACGCAGTCAGGAAAATAAATCAAAATTCTAAAATTGGAACGAACTTTTTTCTTAAAGATACGCTAAACTATTGACAGTGAACCACTTTACAATTTAAATAACTGATTAAGTCTCTACCTCTCCAACATCAACAGATTTAGCTTTATGTCACTCGAAGGTTTAGTTTATATTCCAATTACGCTTAATTTAATATGAGCAAATCTCCTGTAAAATACATTAAGCAAGGTTTGCGGTGGGATGGTGAGACCCTAACAATATGAATTTCCAATAAAAGCCTTCCTAGGCTAAATAGAGATAACGTCGAGAGATAAGATAATTTATCACAATTAATTGGACAAAGGGTTGCATAGATGTTGCGAACAATTTTCTAGTCAGTTAGGACAGTGGAATTTGAATGTAATACCTTTGTTAGCATTGAAAGTAGAGATTGTATACGTTTTACGTGTTTGAACTGGTTAAAATGCAAACTCAAACGAACATAATCCATCTGCTAATTGGGCTAAATCCCATTCTATGTCTTGGCAAAATCAAAACTCCAGTTCCTACATCCACGTTTAATAACATTAATCTCAGCAAAGACTGGTTATAACAAAGGATGCCACGGACATACATAAATGTAATCGACGTCGATTCCAATTTATTTTCAAGTGGATACCTCTTTATTCCATTATATCCCGTGTTTGATCTACGACATCTGGGCCTAACGAATAACCGCGTTTCATTATTTTCTGCTTTTGCTACAAAATGTTCAAATCGAATTTCAGTGCAGTATCATATTTTATGTCAATATCGTTCCATCTCTCAAGTTGGTTTATATTGATTATATTAGGGTCTGTTTTATTACTTACAAAGCCTTTATTTATTTCTCGTGGCCTTTTGCTTGGTAGAGCTACGAATATTTATGAATAAAACGTTGCCAGGTTCTAAAACACTCATTTGCTCAGTTGCATAGTTGGCTAAATTTTCCTGTTAAACTATCACTAAAGATGGTAACTGGAAGGTATTGAAAAATGAGCCCTAAAAAGTACTATAAATACCAGGATTGCTTCGCATCTAATAAATTCCTGCTACTTCTCGAGGTACGGAATGAATGCTGATTAAAAATATTTTAATATGCCATTCGCGATACCGCCTAAAACAAGAATGCTTTTTGTTGTATCTTGTTCATTGTTTTATACTGCAGAAGGATGAGGTAATTGCAATCAGCAGGAAATGACTTTATGCGCTATACGCCAACTAATTCTCAAGACGAAATAATAAAGGTGGATGCAACCAGGACCTGACTCGATAAAAATTATTATTCGATTTCTTACTTTTCGCAGAAGTTATTGTCTAAAGCAGATGGAATTTTTCAAAATGTAGCAGGTTTTGAATAAAAATTAAGACACTTTTTAATTTGATACGGCAAGTGGAACATTTCCAGTTACCACAGAGGAAACTAATCAATCTTAACGTGCCTGAAAAATTTTCAAAAAGTTGTTATTTAAAAAAATTACAATAACACAATATTTAATTTGTCAAACGGTAGCAGATATAAACAACAATCTTGATCGAAAGTGCAAGTTGTTACTAACCAAAGTTAAATAATTTACAGCCAGGAAAAACTGTTACCTACATTTGAAGGTCGAAGCTAGGCCTGGGGAACACTGTGTTGAGTTGCACTATTGAGTTGTTGCCGCTCTCTGAGTTAACGAGCTGTAACTCATCGGTTAATGAGTTATAAGTCATTTATTAAAGCTTTACAAGACTCGAGACTGGAATTTCCACATCTAAAAAAGGGTTATTAACATTAACAGTAACTTGTTACTACTTTGTTCAAACAACTTGAAAGAAGTTGTCTAGATTTTTGCAGCAACAGAACTAAGTCCAGAGAAAGTCATCGAGTTTTATTGTAAAATTGATCTATTAATTTTTCGCATACAAGATTCAGTTGGCCAGTATTTTACAGTAAAACGTAAGGAAAAAGCCGGTTTTTCTGTTTAGCGACAGTGGTGTTCAGAAATATTGACCTAAAAGTGAAGCAATCCTAGTTCCAAGAGTTTTCCAAATAAATTATTATAAACTTTCGCTTTTCCAGTTTCCAGAAAATATTTTTGGAAAAAGATCCAGAATTAATTATTAGAGTTTTGTTCATAATTCGAAGCTGCAAAAAGTTTTCCAAAAATGTTTGCAAATCGGTTGAGGCGGCTAGTGTGTGGCAAATAAAATCTATCTTATAATTTTTTACAG